ATAACTTTTCGTCTTGGCGTGACTACAGGTTTTGCGTTGCCGTCCACATCTTTAATAGGATTCAAATATAAGTAATTATGTAGTTTCAGAATATACCTAAGCAATGTAAATTCATAAATTCATCACAGTACTGTCTACAAGTGTGTTATACAGGAATATTTTTTTTCCAGTGCAAAAATTTTTTTTGGTGGTTCAGTATCAGTAATAGAACACTTTTCCATAATTAGTTAAAAAATTTTTTTTTAATATTTTTATCCCTATCGAAACGGTAGAATATGGACACATTTTCTAAAATAAAACTTCAATGAAAACGTCTTCTCTTGCGTATACCACCGTGCATCTCCGCCGCACCCGGTAGCCCCGCGCCATAGCCCCCGCCGCCCCGCCGGGACCGAGCGACGCGCGCGTTAGTGGCGGCGCAGTGAGACACATACGCACGCGCCGATGTGACGTGCCCTCGCGTTCCCGCGCACGCGACGCGCCCGCCGTCGTGAGTTTTACGAGATGGTACGAGTTTATCTTCTGAGTGGTGAGAACCTACATAAGTGCAATTCGGAGAAAGTATGCGACGAAGAGCATACCTCGTATGCGGGCCTTTGGGATCCGTAACCCCGCGGTCCCGCGTCAATACCCACGATGCGGCATGTCTCTTTGGTGTGAGCCAGCCTGCGGTATTGAAGCTGCTAAAAACAGCCGGACTCCATCCGTACCACTTTCAGCCGGTTCAGCAGTTATATGACCTAGACCCAGTACCACGTCGAGCCTTATGTAAGTGGCTTCTACATCACCGCGATGCAAACATCTTGTGGACGGATGAGGCGTTGTTCATACGTGAGGGACTGTTTCTTATGGGAAGAAGTCAAACGCCGGGATGTAGAGGAGGCACAAAGTCTAGAAGACTTAACAATAAAAAATAATAACGCTTTTAGGGAAGTGAAAAGTGACACTAGTGTTTTAAATAAATTAAATGACAATTTAATGAAATGTGCACGTTTATGTCTGGACAGACGTGGACTTCATTTTGAACAAATATTAAAATACATGGTAAGTAATTAGCTAATTAGTTAGGTATTTGTTTTGATTCAACATTATTGTAAATACGTAGTTGATTCCAATTTTTTTAAATACGCCTTAACGCAGAAGTACCTATGTAACTTCGGAATAACGTTAATATTTTTTTCTAAGTAACGAAAATGTTTCTCTTTTATTTTTTTTGCATTTTGATGGCTTTAACCATAAAAGTATGAAGGGAAAATTGGAATTACTCTTAGAAATCACCTCAGATCATGGCATAAAATCTAGTTCGAATCTAACAAAATGAGCGGTCAGTGACCCGTGTAGATAGGTACCTACGAGTACATGCCTGCCTACGGCGTCGAGCGAGCGCTCAGCTGACGCACGGCGCGCGGTGTCCATAAATTAAGTTTTAAAATCTCGATCTTTGATAAGCGATAACTTTATTTTTTAGTATTGGAACATATCAAAATAAAAAATACGTGTTTGTTTAAATTACTTAAAGTTTATTTTCACAAAATCTTCGCAGTGGTTTTAAATTATTCCTGTATAATGATATTCAATGCTTATTTGAGTGCATTTATAAAAGGGGATGACAGTTCTATGGCCAATTAGAGTGAATGGTGTACCAAGTCTAAATCATTTTTAAAACATTATTAATATAAAACCAACGGCATAGCCATCTGTGTTATTCTCATTGTATAATAAAATTCCAACACTGCGAGTACGAGACTTATTGGCATGCAGTTTAGATATATCTGAAAACGTAAAACCGCATACAGCGCTGCATGCATTTCCACTCAGCTAATGGGTTCGAAAAATATTTAACAATTTTAGCAGTTTCAGGTTTGCATTTACTTACAGGGCGGTCTGAATTTAAGATACGAGCTGTAGCAAATCGTATGTATTCAGTACTGAGTAACGAAACCTTACTCACGAATGCATTTCGCTACTCGCATTTTTCGTATGTACCACCTATACAGTTTCAGTTTACGTACTCGTTTCATCAACTAGTGTTGATGCCGTTGATGCTGGTATTGAAACGCTTGTTGATGGTACTCTGTCTGCGGATATTACGCATGTGTGCATTGCGCGCGCTTATTCGATGAGTTTAAACGTATATTACAAAAAAAAACGATGTTTGTTAAAGAATTATTTGGAAATTAGTCGTCCAAGTTTTTTCCTGTTTAGTAAAAGTATTGTGTGTGTATAAAAAGTTTGAGATTGGTACAGAAACAAGGTAAGAAAGTATTTATTATAGAATAGAAATATGTTTTGATTTAGTTGAATAGAATAGAATAATCTTTTATTGACACCTATATAAATTACAAAGAAAGATAAAAAATGATGATATTAATAACAAAATAAAACACAATGTAAATAGAAAAAAAAATACAAGTTTTATAATAAGCTAGGTCCCAAATGGGCCATCAGCTCAGCATAACGTTAGGCACATGAGTATCTAACGCTGATTTTCAGCTGAAACCCTAAGGTGACAAGGTACGCACGAATATCAAAATATTAATATATACTTAATTAAATAACAATTCATTTTAATTAATAAATCAATAAAATAATAATTAATGTTAAAAAATATAATTTAAATTTTAATATGTAATTAATAATATAATAAGCAGAGGTCGGAATTAGGTAGAGTTATTTATGTACTTGCATCGAAATGTTGATATTAATGTGGACCTTCGTGGCAACATCGCGCGTATTGGTATTTTGCAACTTTGGACATCCAATGTCATTGACGTAAGTTTGGCAACGTCGTGCGTGCAGTAGTTTAAATTGTGTAAAAGTAAATAACTTTTTATTTAAAAAATCACGGGTTTTTTTCTGCTCTTTAAAATTAATCTCGGAATTTGAGGCATATCCACTTTATTCTTTCGCTATATGAAATCAGTGTAAGCACATGAATAACTCTACCTAATTCCGACCACTGATAATAAGTCAGTATCCACTAGAACAACAACATCCCACAAAAAAAAAGTCTTATCATAAATATTTGGCAGTGCAGCGTACAATTTTACGTGTTCATACGCAAATTTTCAATTCCTTTTGGATTTCCAAATATAAATCAAGTAGTCTACTCTTCAGTGTGAATACAGAGGAACAGTTTTTCAAAGGTGGTGGGATGTTATTCCAGCATTTTGTTGCTGCGTAACGAAAGCTTCCTGTAAATGCTGCTGTTTTGTGCTTCTGATATGAAAGTTGCTAAGCACACTGTCTACGACAACCCTCCCCAGAACCCCCGAGTCCATGTTAATTTATCATACAGATACAACGGCGCTTTAGTACAGTTATTATGATTGAGACACTAATGAGTTTTAACTGTTTATTAGTTGAGACAATATTTAGAAGAACTCATTATTCCTCAAAATGACGAATAATGAAATGGTAGCATATGCGGGTAATTCTATACCCCGAACTCTCAAACTTGGCTGAGAAATATTTATCAATGATGTCTACTGGGTGCCATCTGAAAGGACTTTTTCCAAATCAGGCCGAATATTAAGTTGAGAGGTGTAGCTCTACTCAAACAATAAGAATGCAAAAGATTTTATGTTTAAATTTTATTATAAATCAATTATTTTCTACTCCCATTTGCTGCTTTTTAATTAGAACATTTTTCAGTACTTATTTATGTAACGTTTCTACAAATGACGAATGTTGCGATGTCATACTGTATGATACGCTTACGCAATACAATTTGATTCGTTACTCTAACATAAATACGACGTATTGGAAGTAACAAGTAATGAGTAATGATACAATACGAAAGTAATGAGTAATGATTTTTAGAGTAACCAATACATACAGGTACAGTTTTATTCGTGACTTTTACAGCTCTAATTTAAGAACCCGTTTGCATAGCAAAATTTAACCACACATTGATGATCACAATTTCTCTTAGTGCATCTTTGTTTATACACACCACTTACTTCTACAACATTCAATGAGAGGATTAAAATGAGCAGAGAAATATGGCAAAGTCGACAAGCTCTAACCAATAGATTTTAGTTGTCAACTGTGGCTGATTTTAGGAATGACCAGAATTATATTTAAAAATCTGTCAGACTGTACTACCTACATCATGTTTATAAATGATGATTTTGTTGTAAGTATGAATGTGTAATATGTGATATGGAAGTGTGAAGGGAATGAATATGAGAAGACTGGACAAGAAACTTAGACAAAAAATGTCCTGCTATGGAGTGAGGACCAACAAAAAAAAACAAAAACTACACCACTAAAAGACTTCGAAATGGTAAATTGTTACTGTTTGAATAATGTGCAGAATTAAACATTTTTGATGATTAGTGAAAGTATTTTCAAAAATTAATGTTACTTTATCAACATTAAAATAATGGTGTAAATAAAGTCAAAAATGACAAAAATATTGTAATTTTTTAAATTTGTTAATACTTGTATATCATAATTAATTTAATTTAAATATTTCAATTAAATAGATATTGTAGAGGTAACAATAGTATCTTTAAATAGTGCTTTTTGTAATTTGGTTATGTACACAGAATTCCAACTATATCACTTATCAATTGACAATTTAAGCCTAGGTACTGAATGCCAACATTAAGGTGTAGATGACATGTAATGTAAACTGTGAACATGATCAGGCTATACTCTGTTTCCACCAATAGACCATAAGTTATAAAAACTCAGAGTGTGTATGAAAAGAATTATGAATGTCCTACCTCATAGCACTCAGTTCCCTTTGTCACTGTGTAAGGTAACTGGATGAAGTTTAATAATATAGAGTAAGTATGAGCTATTATAAGTTTAGGTTAGGATAGATTAAAATAATTCTATTACCAAAATAAAAAGAAAACACCTCAAACTGATCACAATCAGAAACCATAGTATTAAACACCTACATAATAAAGTTAAACATTTTAATTTTATTTTTAACTTCTACTCTTATCATACAGTCCCTCCCCAATTCCACTTACATCAAAACTTACCTTCTACACAATCCGGGCACCAGCTATTCCCATCAGGTAGTTTGGATCCACTAAAAAAGAAAAAAACTGGCGCACCATTCGGATCAATATTTTCAGTATATTTAGCAAATTCTTCAAAACCCTTTATTTCTACGTAAGTAACCATGTTTATAGTTTATAGCATTAACTTAGTTAAAAAAAAAAATCGTTCAAAATCTAAATCACAGAGCACTTTCACTGTCACTCACCAGTCACTCACAGACTTAGGGTATCTACATAGGTATCTAGTTAGGAACACAGATTGTCATTGTCACTAGAGGTGAATAACGGCTAAAAAAATTTTAAGCGTTGTACGATTTTAATAAGCGTTTTTAAAAACGGCTTATTGATTAAACGCTTTTTTTTACTGACATTTGGAAATCGTTATAATAAGCGTGTTACGATGTGTTATAGTTATTTATGAAACTAACTTGCTTTGAATAAAATAAATAAAATTAAAACAATTAATATTTTTTCAAAACTAATGAGCTACAAATCCAAATAAAACGAAAGTATTGTAAGTAAACAAAATATTGTTAACATCTTTATTTTTGTACTTTATTTCAATCAATGAATTTTTCTTCGTACTTAATCACAGGCTTAGGTCTGTCTGGAATCAATATAATAAAGTTCAACTTTAAATTTACGCAATGAATTAGCTTTCAACACAACGCACGCCTACTCCAACAATGAAAAGCAGACTGGTTATTTTAAGTTCCGTTTAAAAAGCATATGGTTTAACCGACCAAAAACGTTGTTCCAAAAAAGTCTAGATGGATATTACGCGTAATAGTATATAAGTGCTGCCGTCCAATAGAAAAATGCAGACAAAGAAGAATTGATTGAAGCCAGTAGTAACATCATAACTCAATAGATGGCGGGACATTTAATAAGCATTAGCATACGTTTCTTCTAAGCGGAAAACCGCTTTTACACTTTTTTAAAAAACATGCTTAATTAAGTGCTTTTCGTTAAAACGTCCATCTCTAATGAGGAAATATTTGAAAAAAAAAAACATTAGTTCCCGAAATCGAACTAGATGTCGCTACGGTATATTCTTGATTTCTCCATGACAACCTTCTTCTTCTTCTTCCTTCAACAGGCGTCTCCGCAACTCGACGACCAAATTGCGCCTATTTTGTGTATGGAGATTGTGTGGCCGGATACTATTCTAACCAGCCCAGCTCTGCCAGAAACGCTCCCAGCATCTTCACATCTGTGATGGCCTCTTGGAGGTTGCCGGCGAGCAGAGGTGCTTTGCCCGGTAGTTGGTCACTCCGTTGCATTCCAGCAGGACGTGAGTGGCTGTTTCTTCCGCCTCCAAGCATCCTCTGCACAAGGGGCTGTCAGTGACACCTAGATTGAAAAGGTGCCTGTTAAAGTTGCCATGACCAGTAATAGCACCCGTTACCAGGCGCAAATATGGTTTACTTAGCTGTAGAAAGGCTTTGGTGAGGCGAGCGTTCACTCGGGGTATTGCAAGTTTGGCATGCCAGTAGGTTTCCAAAGTGTACTGTTGATGCAGTTTACTCGAGTGTTCACGTATTCTACCAATTAATCAGAATAGGAATGATCGGTTCCGGGCCCATTGGTGTTGCGTCTGATCCTCTGCGTGCCAGATCATCAGCTGCATCATTTCCACGTGATCCACTGTGTCCCTTTATCCATTGGATAGTAATTATATTGTGTGTGCCTAACATATTTAGGCCTGGTGACACTCCTGTAGAAGACTCGATCGGACAGAACTTCCTTTGAGAGCATGTAGGACTGATTCACTGTCCGAGAAAATCCGGATTTCTGATCCCTTTACCTTCCTTGTTACCTTCCTAGTAGTTATCGCTCTCGCCGCTAGGGTGATCGCCATACATTCAGCCTGAAAGACTGTATTTTATGGGCTGAGGGGCAAGAACAGATGTAAGTTGAGGTCCCCAGAGAATACACCAGCCCCTGTGCCTGATAAAGGTGGATTCGATTCTGTCATAAACCGCCTCAACAAGTGGGGTGTTAAGCCATTCCTTCAGTAAGCCTTTGAGATGTTTAGCGGTATCGAACCTTACCAGTTTGTGATTTTTTAGTCTCAACGCTGTCTTGGCCATTTCCTGTCTAATATTTAATAATTTTTACATATTTATATGTAGCGGTGTACTTTTTATACTTTTCACACCAGCGTTCGACTCTCTTCAGGGCGGCTTGCATGCATGGTGTTGCAGGTTATACCAGCATGGGTGCCTAGAGTTAATATTGTGATATCATCGACATACCCTATGGTATAGAAATGGTTTGCATTGAGGAGTGTGATCAAGCCGTTAACCACCAGGTTCCACAGTAGCGGCGAGAGTACTTCCCCTTGGGGGCATCCCCGCGCCACCAGTGCCCCCGTACTGTCCTCACCTGCCATCTGAACTATCCTGTTGCATACCATATTCACGATCCAGTCTGTAACTTGTGGCTTAAGTTCATGTCTTTTGAGAGCCATTGACGCGGCTCTGGTGAAGTTGATTCTATCAAAGGCACCTCCGATATTGATGAAATTGCCAAGACAGATGAGTTTGTTGTGAAGGGCCATTTCTATCTTACCGACTACTTGATGGAGGGCTGATTCTGTAGATTTACCTGCTAAGTAGGCGTCTTGATGTTTATGTATCGGAGAAATGCTCAGTGCACCACTTCTTACATATCTGTCACATAGTCTTTCCAGAGTTTTGAGTAGAAAAGATGTTAAACTAATGGGCCGGAAAGATTTGGGGTTAGTATAGTCGGTTTTTCCCGGTTTGGGTATAAATACAACCTTTACTTCTCTCCATCTGTGTGACGTGTACCGGTGAGTAAGACACGCTTGTAGTATACAGGTGAGTGCTGTGACAATGGTCTCGCCTCCCCATTGTAATAGTGCTGGGAAGATGTCATCGCTTCCTGCCGCCTTAAAGGGAGAGAAGCTGCTGATGGCCCATCTCACCTTTCGTGAGATGTGCCATCAGCAGACGTGTCGGCGTGACGTCATGCCATACTACCTGTTCGATTGAATGACAGTTTGGAAAATGGGTCTGTACTAGGATGCGATTGGATTGAATTTTGGCTTTGGGACATCGTGCCGTCAGGTCTTCGGAGAGTTCCCAATGTACCAGGACCTTGTTTCGCTAAAATTTTCCTTACCCTATTTACCCTATTTGCTACTTGTGGAATTTATCTCTTCGGTGAAGCTACGCCAAGAGGCTGTTTTCCAGTATCTAATACGTTTTTTGTACTTAGCTTTAATGGCTTTGTAGTTGTCCCAGATTAATTCACTCATTTCATTCACTGGTTTTGTTAGTATTTTTGGGGTATCTTTTAGGGACGGGGTTAGTAATCGGTACCTGTAAGTCAAACCGAATCCACCAATGATCAGAGCATGATGCCTCTTGCGATAAGTGCCAGTCCGATATCGTTGGCACCATTTCCGGGGTCGCCAGAGTAAGATCAATTATGGAGCTGCCAATCTTGCTCACAAAGGTGGGTTCAATTCCTCTGTTCATTATCAATAAGTTAGTGGTCAGATGGAATTCAACAAGTTGGTTACCTCTGATGTTGCTATTCTCCATTCCCCACATTTTCCTGCGCGCAGAAGCGGACCAGTGAGACGACCTCCTCTGGTGAGACTCACTCCTTTTCGTGCATGTAAGCAGAGCTCATATCGCAGTTATAATTATCATGTTTCAATGTCAGCCTTATGACGCAGAGATCTCTGGAACAGAAATTCGTTAAACGCTGTATTCTAATGTCTTTGGTAGTGTATATACAGGTTCTTACGTCATTAACAGTGGCTTGAATGAGCTTACCTCCCAAATTGGAAAGTCCTCTCATCTCACCACCCCTGATCCACGGCTCCTGGATCAGTGCTACCGCTGTTGTATTTACCTCGAACCATCGCCGAAGCTGAGCCGTTGTGGTGATGTTATGTTGGAGGTTTACTTTCAGTACTTTCACACCACTGCCGTGGGACGACATCGTTCTCTCTATTGACGTCCTCGATCTCCAGCTTGCTCAACCCCACAAGGCATCCCTCACGAGGAGATGAGGCCTCGTGCGAGGGGCCGAGGATGGCGTCATCTGGAATCGCCGAGGACGTGGTGGTGGCGTATGGTAAGCCGGCGACGGGCGTGGGTACCGGTGTGGGTGTCAGCGTAGAAGTGGCGGCCTGTGTTGGTTCCGGTACCAATGCCGAGGAAGTCGCACTGGGGTTGTTCGTCGGCGGAGTGTTGACATACTTCCCTCTCGCGTCCCTGAACTTCAGGTACACAGACCCCGTCATAAAACAGAGTCTGCGCCCCCTAGCCAGGTTCGCGGGTACGTCTTCCTCAGGTATCGATAGGAAGATGAAGGTTGCTTCAAATTTTGGCTGCAGGTGGACACCGTTGAACCATCTCTCGATATTGAGGTCTGAATTCCCGATCGCCAGGCATTTGCCATAATCAGATTTTTTTTCCAGAGTTTTGGCAAAACGAAGCCGCTTCTAACCCGTTTGGGGATCTCTTCCGCCCTAAGGACAACAAGATTTCCTCCATCTGGGCTCCGTACCTGCTGTCGTACCCACTCCAGAGTTTGTGCGTTGCCGCATGTGTACCTTAGACACCCGTCAGCGTAAAGCGGTTTCCCACTAAACACCAGAGCGACCTTGGAACACTCGCGGAACGCAGTTTCACTGGCAATCTGCATGATCCCCTCCTCAATCTTCTCCTCGACTAGCTCGGCCGTCTCACGAGAGATGTATCCCTTGCTCGACGTCACAGCGAATAGAGGTTCGACGTGGTGACGGTCACAGTTGCCGATGTTGCGAAAACGTAGGTACGCTTGGAGATGGAGTCAGAGCTGGGTTCGGTTGACTGTTCCGTCTTTTGTCTTTTGGGCTCTCATGGCGCTGGACTTTGCCTTTCCCTTTCCCTTCCCTTTCCCCTTTGGCAGTGGGCGGTCCCTCCCGTGACTTGTCTCCGGTCCCGCTTGTGTTTGTTCAGGCAACAAGTTGCCTTTCGCTCCCCCATACGTTCTCGGTTCCTTGTCCCGACTGGTAGTGGGCATCGTTTGGGCTTGCTTGGGCAGTGGCAGGTTACCCTGTTTCCCAACTTTCGCTCCCCCTTGCATTCCCTCCACCGTGCCGGTGTTCGGGGCAATTTGTTTGCTAGAAAAAGCTGACATTCGGGATTCCCTCCTGCGCTGCTTCTTCCTATGCATCTGGGCCTTCTGCTTCTCCTTACGTTTGGACACTTATAGAGCAGCCTGGGCAGTGGGGGATAGAGTTTTCTCTGCCCCCTTTTCACCCTTTTTGCCCACTTGTGTCCGACCTGGCTCAGTGTGTTTGTCCCTCTTGGTTGGGGTGTAGGTGTTGTTTGTGAGCCTTCCGGTTTCCCTTCAGGCGTGTTGTGCTCTCCTGACGACACCATTAAGACGAGAGGGTGTGTTGGTGTCTGATTGTGACGGTGTTTTGAACCTGTTGGTGTCCATGTCGTGTATGGTGTGTTATTTGTCCAATCCGCTTGCCACCCTCCACGGAGCCCCCATGACAACCTTTCCGGTTTTCTTTCAAGTTTAAAAGTATTATTAGTTTTCAAGACTCAATAAACAACTCATATTCTATTTGTACTTTTTCGTATTTGTATTGATATCTTAGTTTCGAACTTTTCAAATTTCAGTTTTTTTATATGTTAGTTAAAAGGAACGGAAATGACTGTCTTCCTAATTGTATTATTTCGTATTTGAATTGATATCTAAGTTTCGAATATTGCAAATTACAGTTTTTTAATATTTAGGTCCTTTCGTTTCCTGGGAAAATAACCTTTTGCTTTTAATTTTGTCAAATATACTCTTAGTAGATATGTCTAGCGCCCGCATAACAGGTTATGACTAAGAGCAAACAAATGTCAATTCTCCAATTACATGGTCACAGGACAATATGCGTTGATGGCAGGCAACCCTGACGCTAACGGATTGACGTTTTTGTCAGTTTGAATTTTTGTTTGTAATTTGAATTGAATATTTCAAATGTGTTTTGTTGGTGTTAAATCCTTAAAGTGGTTAAATTGTTTTGTATCAACTCCAAAAAAGTATAAAACCAGTGTCTTATAATGGATAATACAACATCTTTAAAACCAAAAACTATGGCGGAGCTTTTGCCTGGTCTCAGTGGTAAGTTCTTTGACAATTTTTTTTAATAATATCTTGTTTTGAAGAAACATAAATTTATTTTCTGGAAAAAACATAAGAAACAATTAAATACCAGTATCGAGTCTTTCTAGGAATACTTTCAAGAGATGCTATTCAATCACTCACTGCAAGAAAACAGCCTCGACCGACGATGGCTCAAACTCGTACAGCCGAAAAAGTTTTAAAGCCGCTAACAATAGCAGAAATGAGAGCTGATATTCAAGGTACTTTATTTGGAATATATATATAATTTGGGTCATACATAATAAGACTTAATTTGATAATATTCAAATGTTTTTAATATCTCAATTCTTTTTATAGCACTCAAAATTCAATCGCCAAGAAAATTTGCACAACCCACATCAAATAAAAAGAAAATTTGGAATTCATCTGTGAAAATTGATAAAAAAATAAGCCACACTGCTGATGGTCAAATGAAAAACAATCCTGTTAGGAAAGTGCTTAATTTTCAACCAAAAACAAAAGTAAGCCTAAATATGAATGTTTCATTATTTATGATATTTCATATATTGATTATGATCTGTTTTTTTGTAGGCTCCTATTAACACAAGAATCACAATAAACCCATTAAATGTGGAAACTCCCAAGTTTCACAAACCTGAATTTCGAGCTAAAAAATCTGTACATCTCCAAGGTATGTATAATTCATCAATTAAAGTAATAATTATGAAATCCCTATGTTGCCATAATGTGGACATCACCACTTATAGTTAATTATGTAAAAAGAGTATATGAATCAACAGTAAATTTAATAAATTGTCCACAGCTCGTAATGTTGTAAGGATCAGTGGAGTATGTAATATAGCTGAAACACCAAAAGTATTAACAAACTTAAACAAAAGCAGAATGACACTTGCAAACAAAGAGAATATATCGAACCAGAGTAGCATAACTAAAAAGACACTAGTTACACCAAAAATCTTTAATCACCGACCATTAAATAAACGTTCTGTGCCAGATACTCCTTTGTCAAATGAATCCTGGAAATCTAGTTGTGATGCAAGTTTTTTACAAACTGAAAAGGAAATACATGATACAGAAGAGAAAGCTAAAGCTATATTGGAGGAACATACTTTAGAAAACATTGCTGAAGTGACACCACCAGTTTCAACTCCCTTCAGAGATTACAGAAATATAAAAGAATATTTCAACAACTCTAGTGAACTTGAAAGTTCTGCTTTGTACAATGACAACACTATTATGTGCTTCGATAAAACTGCAAATAAGAGGGAAGAAAGTGTAATTGTATCATTGTGTGACCTACTCAATAAAGCTAAAGTGAGTCATCCAGAAAATTGTGACACAGAACTAGAAGATTTATTGGAAGTAGAAAAACAAACTGAACATAACATTAGAATGATTGAAAGTGGTATTCAAACATTGCTCAATATTAAAGACTCTCAAATAAAGTCCTTGCAGTCTGTGAGAAAATTAATTAGTGAAAAGAAAAAGGGCTACCAAAGTCATGGGCATGAACATGATAAAACTCTAGTAACTGAAGCCAAAGCAACCACTATAGCATTAAAAGAGAAACAAAGCCTCACAAAGAGTCCAATTTTTGGGAAACCATGTTCTGTTATAAAAACCCCATTAAAATCACCATCATACAAAATACCAAAAAAGAATTTATGTTTAAGAAAAAAAGTATTTCATAAATCAATGCCAAATATGACAACGCCGGACAAAGACATTGACAAGAGAGCTTTAAATATGTATATGAAAATGAAAGAACAAATGAATTTTTTAAGTACTCCTCTTGTTAAACATACTAATGTTGAGTTGCCAGATACACCTGCAGTTACATCTCATAATTTACAAAGACAATTAGATAAATTATATGATGAAAGTTAGAACAGGAGACAATTAGACAACATTTAAAGATTTATTTTAAAAATAAAGTAATATAATAATATTAAGCCACATATGTGCTATATTTTAATGTGCTTTAATTGTGTTAAGTAGTATTTAAGGTTGTGCTACAGGTTGGCGTAATAATGATAATAAATATTATTTTCACTAAGGATTTTTTATACATTAATTTAAACAGCCATATATTGTATAAATGTATTTTTAAATTACTGTTTGATTTTTGACCATGTTTATTGTAATATATTTTTGACATTTGCGCTAGCATAAAACAAGTAATTGTAAAACTGAATCTGATATAAATTATTGTATGTTGTAAATAAATGGATAGAATAAATTTTTAAGAATGACAACACCACTTTTATAACCTCAAAGTATCAATGGCACTTAAAATTGATTTCCCTTTGATTTTATAAAATATTCAAAAATAAAAAGTGCATATTTATGTACAGTGATAACATAGTAGTAGTTTCGCACATGGGACAGGCAAAGGAACTAAGCCACATAGTGATTACGTATAATATTGTAAATATCCATTTGGGAAGATTCCATTGGAGCTGCTGTATTCATATTGGGTCGCCAAGTAACTTACCTCTATGATAAATTGATAACATATTGTCTACGTCACTGATAAACAGCCATATCAGAGGTTGTGTGAGACTATAGTTTCAAGTTATTAAGTTTTTTTTGTCTAGTATATGATAGTCTTGTCATCCGACATAGCTATACCAGTAGGCAACAATCTGTGCTTTTTTAAAATTGAAATATGGCTTTATCAAAACCAATTATGTCATTGTTGACGACATATTTACAAAATCTGTATTTATATCCTGTTCGGACTAAATCCATCACAAGGTAAGTTTGTATTTGTTTATTTTATTATTACAATGTGGATCATTTTGCAACTTAATCTTTTTGTAGTTAAAATGGTTTTATAAACTGGAATTTAAACAAAACCTTTATTCCAATTTAATTAAATACTCTTCAGAAAATTCAATCTGTGGTGAAAATAAATGATGACCTCTTTCCCAAATATTAACTTTAACAAAAAGAAGCTACTTTATATAGGTAACTATCATACATTAGTCGGAAACCGGTTCTCAAATATCAACGTTCAAAGTGCAAGTAGAATAGATACGGTCGAATTAATACTTACTATTGTGGAGATAAAAGATATTTAAAAATACAAAAACATGAATATGCATGAATGATAAATCAAAATATTTATCTTAAACGCGAGTTGTATGTATCAAAATAATGTTTACTCATTTATCGAAGAAAAATCTACCCAAAATTTTTGTTCATTGATAGGGTAGTGATATGTAATATTCTTAACTTTATAATTAGCGTTAAGAGAATAGTTTATCTAGATAGTCAAGATAATTTCTTAAAATTTTCTTTTAGTTTTTAGATGAGAACTGTACATTTGGATGGATCCGTACCACAGAATTATTAATTCTGTTTTTTAGTATTTGTTGTTATAACGGCAACAGAAACAACCAGTGAAAACTTCAACTGTAACTATTACGTTCATAAACACTGGTGATAAACGGGCCACCAACAGAGTATTAGTAATAGGGTTCCATTTTACACTTTGGATAAGGAACCCTCAAACAGCTTTATTGATGGTTGAAATATAAATTGACGTGTTTAAATTTTAACGTTTCAGTTGCGCTCTAGGAACGACAGCCAGCATCGCATCCCAGCTTATGGCAGGAGATACAGTTAAGCTAGATCCAGTGCTAGCTTTTGGTTTCTATGGGTAATTATAACCGTTCATAAATACACCTGACACCAAGTTCTTTTCAATAAAACTTTCATCTAGTTACACCAACCTCAATTAATATTGAAGGACGTTACCGATGCAAATTTTCAAATTAAGAACATTCATTAGAGTCTAAACTTGTCATTAACTATGGACTTTTGCGCCACTGGGTATTAGTCGTATTAGTATTACACTCATCACGTTTTTATCCAATAGACGAGAATACTAATGAAATAACAGGCGTGCGGTTGCATATGTAACTGTTGATATTTGTTACTTCATTAAAATTCTTTATATTTGGTAAAAATAACTGCCATATCCTCAAGTAATTACATCTTTCGACTAAAAATACGAACGTTATTCTTTGGATATGTCGAGCGTCAAGCATTCATGATATTATTTTAATTTTACAGATTACTTTTCGGCGGGTCGATACCACATTACTTCTATGAATTTTTAGAAAGATTATTCCCCGAAGAAGTTGTCGCTTTTCCTTTAGCAAAAAAATTGTTATTCGAGAGATTACTTTTCGCTCCATTCATACAAGCTTTCTCTCTGTATACATTAGCAAGGTTTGAAGGTAAAAATCATGCGGCCGCCGTGAAGCAACTGTACGCTCTGTATTTGCCTGTACTTACTGCAAACTGGAAATGGCTTACCTTGTTCCAAATAATTAATCTGGCATTCGTGCCCCCAATGGTGAGTATACTATACTTTCTTTTTGGAACTAGTTTTTTATCCGATAGTTACATAAATATTTCTCGGCATAATAGTCTTATCGAGAGATAACTTTTACAGCATAATAATAATGATGTCGCAAATAACAAGTTTATCAAAATCATACGCAATGAGTAGGACATTTAAGATAATTGTATCATTTTATAAACGAGATTGAGAATTGTTTGCATAATTAGTAGGTGCTTGTGTAGCACTATATTCTGTTATTGTTTTACTAAAACGATTAAACGGCTCTGGCATGTTGGAGTGCAAAGCACTTTCTTAGAAAATACTAACCGACATTAGATAGTATAGTTATAGAGCATTAACTTATAAATGCCATTGGATCGGCGATGCGGAGGTTAAACAATTTTCATAGAGACCGGTTAAAGTATGGGTGACCAAAAGTTTATTATCTCAAGTTCTTCTGTTTCTGAAGTCGCATTAAAGCGTTCGTCCCGGCTGCATTTGCAGTCGTAACATCAATTCTTTTGATTGAGATAGAATGTGAAAATTAGAAAATTAATGAAAATTATTTCACCTACACAGGAAGCCATATATCACTCGCGGGTGACAGGCAAACTTAAAGCGGGCAAACAACTAATGTCTCAAATAATTATGTTTTAATTTTGTTTTAGTTGCGAGTTCTCTTCATGAATTTGGTTGGTTTGGGCTGGGCCATATTCTTAGCCAATAAACGACGCCAAAATCAAAAGAAGCAATAAGTTAATTTTAAAATAATTATTGTGTTGGTGCTTGGTTTAAAACACATGTGAAGCATAATGTGGTGTAATGGTGGACCATTTTTAATACATACACAATTTATAAGACTGGTATTAATAGGTACGAGTGATTCAATCTCGATCAAGTATATTGTCATTGGTGTATTGTAAATATGTAATTTTATATCAAACAAATGTCATCTTAAGACAAGTAAGTAGGTAGTTAAAAGTAAATTTCCACTTTCTTTACTTAGGTACTTTATTATTTTGACAACAGCGATTGAAATAATTTGTTATTTTTTTATATATATATTGTGAATTATTCTAATACTTCTATTTAACTATGTTCAAATCTGCAAAATCAATTCTTCGGTCTGCATGCTTAAATTTATTTTAAGACAAAACTAATATATTTTATATATTAAAATTTGATACAACTGTTATTATGAGTATTAATTAATACCATTTTAAATATTACATACTTATTGCTCAGAAATAATTATATTTCACATTTTGTTTATATTATTAACAGTTCTTTTTTTTTAATTAAAAACTACAAAATTAAGTAGTGTTCCTATCCATATATAACATTACCTTATAATGTAAAAAAAAATATTATGTGAATAAATAAGTTGCTGTATGTAAATGACTAGGTATCTTAAAACTACTGAATAAATTAAAATAAATAGTTACATAATCCAGTTCAATAAATATATTGCACTACAAAAGGAAAAAGTTTCATAAATAATATAAAAAAAAAAATATTTGACCAAAAAATATTGAGTTAACATTAAATACCCAACAAAAAAGGTTGTATTCGACTAGATTAAACACGTTAACTTTCACTTTTGATAACACGTTTTCATTTAAAATTTATATTTGGCTGATAATTCTAAAAATCACATGAGTATTATTTAATTAGACAGTAATCTGCCGGTAAAATAACAAAAAAAAAATGGGTAAAAATATATATCAAATATAATTACTGATATCGATTTGAATAACTTTTGACTAGATTTAAATTAAAATATTATAATAAATAAATTGTTTGCATGAGTATTGTAGTCTAGGTAACTTCAAAGAATGTTCTTTTGGTTATAAAATTAGTAGCACACCTTCGATATCCCAAATTCCCAATACATACAACCTATCGTTACTAAACTTAGCAGCGGGCAACATTCTTTCGAGATTCCAGTAAATTTGTAGACTAGAAATATTACAATAGCAACAGACAAGTTACTCGTTTACATATGTATTTAACTACAAAAGTTTTCACATGAAACTAAATTTGGTCTCATGGACTGCCATTCTCCCTCAGTTACTTATTCTACCTGACTAGATTTTACATTAGCAGCAAGACAGTTTGACAGAAAGTTGACTATATAGATTTTTTTTAATGAATGAACGAGTTAATGTATTCTATTCTCGATCCGGTTTCGGTGATCGTGACCAACTTCTTTGCGATGATCTGCTGCTGTAGGTCGGTGAGGAAGCAGTAGACGGTGTCTGCCGCCGGTACGGTATTGGCCGCTTACGAGCGCTGTTAGTGTTAATATTGTTAGTAAATGCCGTTAGTAACACGCATGCGACGAGAATGTTAGAAATTATGCAAATATGAAAGTGGCGACTGGTGTTATCATATATTTCAATGATAATCATGATTAGTCTGTTATATGTTAATCGATATATCGAAATGAATAATATGACATGAGAAATATATGTAAGTATATAAAAATCAGCACTCACCTTTCGTAATCAAAACAAAATGCATTATACTGGGAAAAATTATCTACAAAATGCTACCATGCAATAATGAAAAAAAAAAACAACTAAAGATTCACGATAAACTTTAATGTGATAAAACAAACTAAATATAATTGAAACAGAAAAAAAACACACTTGCGATAATAATGTCCATATATGTATATAGCACAACGTCTACTAGATGGCGCTCTTGTTATAATATAAAACAATGCCGTGAACACTTCATCTTCTTCTATACTTGTATTTATTCGTTGAATAAGTTAGATCTATTATGGGTGCGCTACGGAGGAAAAACATAAACATTAATATCAAACTTACAATATAAATTTATACTTAGATAATGTGAGTAAGTAAATAATATCTAATAGCACACCCATGTTAAGAGGCAAGCAGGTTAGAGTCACACTTGTAACATTACAAACAGAACGGTGTGTATATATAGAAGAATTATAACCATCACAGCCAATGAATTTTCCCATTTAAATTAATACAAGTTGACCAAAATTACTTATATGTCGGGATATAATAAAAAAAAACACTGAATTTCTTGCTTTACATTTAAAGGATTAATCAATTTTTACTGGACAAGTATCGAATACATACATATATATTATCCTAAGCTTAAAAATTAAATTGTTTTCACACTAGCACAATCACTGCACACTAATCGGAGCTACTAGTTGAGTCTTCAGAACTCGTGCTATATTTCCGTTTTCTATAAAAGAAAAAATAAAGTAAAAGAAGGGGTGTAACTACATAATAAAAACATGCCATAACATGAAACGAATACCCTTAAAACCATAACATAATGTAATCTCACATGTCGTTCGATAATATTATTACGTACGCGTTCTAAATTATTTCACTACCAATGTTATGGCATGTCGTGAGCAAAATAAAATTATAGTAAGCTTTAAAACCGAGGTGAAAAAGCGGCACACGTGTTATATATAACAACCTAGCACACTATAGTAACACAACATTTGTTTACACTGTTAAACCAACAAAAAAATGTATAGCTCCCGTGAGCAATTAGATGATGTAAGCAAATATCGTGATACCAATTTTGTATGGTCATTCCACAGTTAGTACCCATCCAGTGCTTTTGGGAGATGAGAGCTTTAGACGGACACCAAACTATCAAAGGCGCTCGGTAGGCCCATTCTGCTGCTTACGTAATAAAAGCATCTCAATAGAATCACAACTATTTGCATTATCCCATTCTACTATCTAAAGTCCGCCTCCAAATGGGCTGCAGCCAAAATCAATATAAAAAAGTAAAGAATGTATATAAGAGATGGGGGGGGGGGGACGTAATATCATGTTTCAGCTGGTTGGAAAAGTTGGAAAACCGGACGTCAGATGAGATTAGTCCGCCACTGGCAATATGTTACTATTAGACTATTTAGTCCGTCAGTCAGATAAAAAAAGTATATTAGTGAAGAAATGACTTAGATAATAGGCATTTAAGTTGAAGAGTGGGGACTCGCTGCGTACATCAATTGAAAACATATTATTGAGTATTTGAAAATAAGTTTCAATATTTGTCACTTCATATCAGGTTATGCTAAAGTGTCAGATACCCCCAGTCGATTTTATTTTATCTCAATTTGGACGTGCTGCTGGTTGTATTATATGTACTATATAATTGTAAATGGCTTGTTTCTATAACTTTATAATCATTAATAATAATTGCCATCACAACAAATTAGTTGATATACTATAAGGGTAATTTAAATTGTGCTAAAGGTTCTCTAAATTTACATAGAGTTTATTTCTATAAGGTAAAGAAAGTCCACAAGTAAAATATCATTAATTAGAATTTTTTTTTAAATGGTTTTAGTACGAGTAAAAAAAACACACAAGCAAAACCACATCAAACTATAAAATATACATTACGACAATAGAAAAGATCAGTAGTGCTAGTTTGTTATGAAAACAGCCTCGAGCTCGTCGTCGAATGCAGCATTGTCACGTCACAGAGCTTTATGCTCTGTCCCTGCCGCTTGACAGCAATAGGGATTGTGGGAGACACTCTATCCGTCGGCCCAAAGAGTGGTCAAAATGCGGATGGCATATCTATTAAATCCCCTCCATATGCACCATACTATTGGGAGAAGGGCACGGGATCCCTTCCTTTTGTGTGACACCTTCTTTATACATTATGGTGAGCAATAAAGAAAATCAATTGAATGTTGACGTTTGTACAACACTGCGTTCGACGTCGAATTCAACGCTATAACAAAATAGCAGTTATGATTTCCTTTTTATAATTATTCATTTCGTCATCGGCTTATTGACAATTAACAAGCGTATAATGGGTATTTTCAGTCAAACTCCTGTCTAATATTAATCACAAATATTACCAAAAGCACTGCATATGGTATGTGTGGGTATTTGTATAGTGGTGAGTGTGTATGTGTATGTGTGAGGGATGTTTTAGGGGTTTGTGAAGGATTAAAAGAGGTAGTGGGGGTTTATTTTTTGATTCAGTTAAAATCGCTACGGCCTTTTTATTACCTTATTGAAAATTTATATTTACTACTTTTATAGGTTAAACGTGCGTCTTTAAATTTTAAATTGGTAGTCATAATTTTACAAATAATAGCTAGTAAAAAATTTTGTTACCTATATTATTAATGTTTGTACATAAAAAATTAAGTGTTCTCGTTGCATTTGAAATTGTAAATATAACATTAATTGCTATGTAACTAACTAATGTTAGTATTTCCATCCTATCCTATTAATATTATAAAGGCGAAAGTTTGTAAGTATGGATGTATGGATGTTTGTTACTCTTTCACGAAAAAACTACTGGACGGATTTGGATAAAACTTTACAGCAATATAGGTTATACATCAGAATAACACATAGGGTACTTTTTACTGGGAAAACTTCTCACTCCCACGGGATACCGACTTCCACGCGGACGAAGTCGCGGGCGTCCACTAGTCTATATATATAAAAATGAATCGCAAAATGTGTTGGTAAGCGCATAACTCAACAACGCCTCGACCAATTTGGCCAAATCTTTTTTTAAAATGTTCGTTGAAGTTCAAGGATGGTTTTTACGGCGAGAAAAATTAGAATTATTGCTGGAAAAACCCTAAAAATAGCCCTTTTCTTTTTCCCATACAAATGATTTGTAACTAAAACGTAGTCAATTTGAGCTTTATTGGTATGGTATAAAGTTCATATTAAATTACAAGCACTCACTGTTGTCTAAGCAATGTAGGTGTGTTCCTAACGTCAAAGATCATATCTATCAAAACAATGTGCGTGTGTGCGTTGGAGCACAGAATACATAGTTGGAGGAGTTTAATGTCGCGTTCCGAAACTCGCGTTTCTTTTGTATTAGTTTCGGTACGCGAGATAAAATGCATCAGTTTCCACGTCATTACATGTATTGCCGGAACATTGATGAAAATACGCTCTGTAGTAGCAAAGCTGTTGGGTCCTAGATAGCTCATTGGTTAGAGCAGTCCCTGGATCGCGAATGGGTTCGAGTCCCATTCCGGGGTACAGGTAGATGGATTCTTCCAGCATTTTTCCTTGAGAATGTTTATATATTTTTTTTATTCGAATAGTTTACTTTTATAATGCTGTTGTGTGTAATGTGTTTTTATGATCATAAAAATCTCTTTTTTCTATATTTAATACTATTACTATTAATACATTGCAATAATAATTATGATTCACATGATTAACAATAAAGCGATTACTTACTTTTAAATCTTTATATATGTTTTATTTAATTATTTTTTATTCACAACGCCCTATCACCAGGGTGACGGTTCTGTTCAGGAGAATTTTTTTAAATACGTAGGCAAAAAAACTGCCACATTACAAATCTTTTTGACAGGACGAAGTCTGTCGGGTCAGCTAGTAGGTAATAAAAATAGCCAGATTTGTGATATCAGAAGTCATAAAAACAGGCGATACGTTGCGTATGAAAATCATGAACGTCAAGAAGGCGATTTATAAGTTAAGGCGGCACTAGATTTTATTAAGGTATATAAGTTAAAACGGCACTAAATTTGTTCAGGGCAGGTGAACAATTAGAAAAATACAGGTCAATGAAGTTTATTGACAATATTTTCGGAACTGTAAATGAAATCGTTTCGCGAGCATAATCACTGGGATAATGAACCTGGTTGGTTCTAAGTAAAAATGGGGCGGAGCTTCGTATACTGAATGAAGAGTGGTTGTTTTTCATTAACGAAAAGCGACGCGGAGTGTGCGAACGCATACAAATAAGACAGAAAAAGCGACATATGCGCAGAGACCGAAATATGTAAGCGAAGTTAACCAATATTGTTAGTAGAAACTATTTTCTTTTTAGAACTAAAATAATTCGATTCCAATAACCGACATTCAAATGAAATAACTGTAAAAAATTATAAAGTTCCTCACGAGCTGGCTAATTTAGAGACATTAACCAGGTTTGCGAGCCCTGACCTTTTTTACCTACTGTTGACAACATAAACAATTACTTCTTTGCGTTTATTTTTGTCTTTTATAGTTCATAGCATTAACCATAATTTTATTGTATACAGTCCATATATACAATAAAAAGGGCTACTCTGACGAATGCATTTATTATAACATCGCAGAAATATGTTGGAGCCCGCTCAGCACAGTTGGAGCCGTTGGAGTAATATGTTGGAGCCAGGTAGACCACATGGGATCAAGGATAGTGTATATATGCGAGTGTAGATATATGTGGGATGTGTTCGTGGGTAGTTTGTGTACCTGGTGATTCGCCTCCTATCGAGGAAGCTAGGTGATCCGGCGCGGCGTGGGATCGATGGCGATCGCGACCGCGACCGCGGCCGAGACGGACTCGATCTACGGTAATCGTCGTACACGCCCGTCATTGTACTGTCAGTGTACGTACCATCGCATGCATGCATTTACCGTTTTCATTTAGCGGAAAACAGAGAGAATTGAAAAACCACGATTAATCTCGGTGTCGACTTGACGGCGCGGCGTGACGAACGCGCCTCGATGTTTTGTTACTATCTCTATCTATCTATCTATAGTAATGTTGTATAATATTTTGTTAGTGTATTAAAATATTAGTTGGGTATATTTAAGTATATAAAAAATATTAAGTTCGTTTTTTTTTTTTGTAGGACACAAATAAATGTATTTCAATAGCTTGTATAAGCCAAATCAATACATACATTCATTATATTACAAAATGCAAAAAAAAAATAAGAAATATGAACTTTTTCACTCGTAGAAAAATATGGTGAATGTAACATACCATTATCGAGTATATCATAATGAACGATTAAAAACAAGGTACAAACTTCAATCAAAAATACATTAATCATAAGAGATAGTAACGTCACAATCGAGACGCTTCGACAGCCGTATTATCGATAAAATAGTATCGGCAACGATATTCCTTACCGTGAGGAGCGCGTGGAACGAGACGAGGAGCGAGAGGAACGCGACGAGCTTCTACTGCTGTACGAACTGGACCTACTCGAACGAGATCGTCTGCAAATATAATGTTGAAAATATCAGTATATTTACTTCGCAATCATAATGCTATATCGATAAATAACTTAACGATAAACATCTCGGGGTGCCTGTAAATGGTTTTTTTAAACAGCTATTAAGAATGTCAGTATTTCCTAAGTATATATTAATATCACAAGTAAAAATTTAAATTATTCAGAATAGAATTATACTTTAGTTAGTGTGTGTGAAGATTATAAAACACGCATTATTAATTTTTATGCGAAATAAATAAATTACTGCAATATGTTGGAGTTGAAATGTCACATGACGTCACACCTTTGTACATTCCCTACATAGTTGTGGCGTAGCAAGACCCCTACTCCTCAACTTTCATGCTTATTATCTATTCCATTTCTTGTTAAATTGAAGTAAAAAAAAATACGTATCTAATATTTTTTAATTATCTGACAGAGTTAATATAATTTCTTTTTTTGACCCAGACATCATGTCACCTCCATCTTATGGGCCATCCTTAAATTACGTCACACGTTAAAAAGGGGGGGAGGGGAGTCGACGAACTGTGACATTAAAGCAATATTTAGTAGAATGTGTATAGACAAACAGGTGACAGTCAGAGGGGGGGTAAAAAGTCATGAATTTTTTGTGACGTAATTTATGGACGGCCCCTTAGAAATTATTACAAATCAAATATTTATTTGCACAAATATTGTGTCAGTATAGTTGTTTCATTAGTTTTCAGCTCAACAATATTTTACCTCTTATTGTAGGCGTGCGTATACATCGAATGTCAGTACAATAACATAATCACCGTAGGTAATACAGCAATATCTGCGAGTGGTCAGTACCGTTACCTGGAGGAGGAGTAGGAGCGCGACCGTGACCTGGAGCGAGAGGTGCGCGGCGTGCGCGAGCGCGAGCGTGAGCGGGAGCGGGAGCGGGAACGCGAGCGGGAGCGCGAGCGGGGCGACTTGCCGCGCGACCGGGACCGCGACGACGACCAACTGCGGCCGCGACCGCCCACCGGGTCGTCCTTGCAACTGGGACTCTTCGCCTACGTTGTGCAATAAAAGAAAATAGTTTTTACCCGCTCCTTAACCCATGAGCTTGCGTGCTAACGCTTTAAAAAAAAATTGTAAAGAACAAAATAGTTTTAAAATACTGTTTTTTTACTTTACTTTTTATTCAGTTTATGAAGCGCTTACATGCAAGCTCGTGGTAAATCACAATAACATAGCAAAAATTAACTTATTGTAAAGAAATACAGAGTGCAACCAGCGTGGTGTGGTGTGATTTCTTTATAAAAAGTGCACAATTTGATTTTTTTTTCTATATATTAATTTTTAACATTCTATAAAAACTATGCTATTTATCGCCCTCCAGTCATCATCAACAGCCTAATGTCCCCACCGCTGGAGCACAAGCCTTCTCTATAGATGGAATTGAATCAAATAGGGAGAATGGGCAAAAACCCACCAAGCTAGCCTGTATTTTTTATTGTAAAGTGGGTGTTAATTAGACAAGATTCTATTATCTAGTTATAAATCCTGCAAGATTTTATAACTAGATAATATATGTATCAAATTAAAGATAACTTTGAATTTTTATGTACGTAACAATTAGTACTTTTCCGCCCAGTGTCAACTTACGCACTGGAATATGAAGTAGTTAACTTATAAAATTTGATAGGGACTTATTTCATAGATATAATCAATACAAAGTAATCAAATAACTTCAAACTAAACTGCAACTTTGAAAAATATACAATTTTTCACTTAAACATACCTTTTTAGGGCTGGGGCTCTTTTTGCTCTCCTCTGGAGGTGGCGAGTTCTCCTTGATCTCAATCACCACAGGACTGTTTTCTTCTTTAGGTTTCTCTTCGGGTTCTTCTCTCGGCTTAGACTCCTCCCGCACAGGTTGCGACGTCGACGGTCCATTGGTTTCCTCGACTCTCTTCCTTTCTAATGCTTTAGCCATTTTCGCCAGTTTCTCCTTCAAAGTATTCATTTCCCTTAAATCCAACTCCTCCTGACGTACTCTCTCGTCGAGCCCTAAAAAATCGTCCTCCGTGTCGTCATTCTCGCTCCCAGAGCTTCTCATACAAACGGCCTTCGGCTTATAGTTAGCTGGATGCTTCTTCTTCTTTTTCTTATGTAAATCCGATGGCGATTTGATGTATTTACGTTTGTCTTTTTCGGGCAGTTTATCTATGATGTCGCGGTATCGTTCCGGACTCCGTCGAGCTGGTGAATAGCTCAGACTGGATGTACTCCTGCTCTTTTGCACTGAACGAGATCTGGATTTTGGTTTTTGAGATTGTCGCCGATCGTGATTACGATCTTTATCATCTTTGCGTCTCCGCTCAGGCGACAACGAGCGTCGTTCTGATGGTCGTTTCGCTTTCGAGGTACTGGGAGCGTCAGCTTTTCGCTTTTCCTTTTTTAAAACTTTCCGCGCCGGCGACGGTGATCGAGACCTACTGGGTGACGGTCTACTCCGCTTCAGATCCGGCGTAGGAGATCTTTTCTTCGACCTGCTTCGATCACGGTCGTTTTCTATTATTTTCATTTTGTGTTTATCTACTTTGCTTTTTGGTGACGTTCTTTTTCTATATTCAGAAGACCGGCTCCGTCTTTTCTCTCTTTCTCTCGGTGGTGGCGATATACTTCTATCTTTGTGATATTTTTCTTTGCTTCTGCGAACCTTATCTGATAGTGGTTTCGATGGCGGCTCAGACTCCGAAGAGGACGACCTTCTTTCTGGTCTCGAGTTCTTATAATACCTATCGTCGTTGCGAGATTCTCGATTTTTATATGACTTAGTCACTGGAGATCGTTCTTTGTATCCGGGCGAGGCTTCACGTTCATCTCTCTCCTTAATCGGGCTTTTATGTTTCCTTTGCTTAGATGGTTCCTCGTAATCGTCTCTTTCTCTGCGTTTCGGCGCTTCATTTTCATATCGGTCACGGCTGGGTTTTCTTTTTTTGTCGTATTTGTCTTCCTTTTCTTTTCGTTGTGGTTCTTCTTTCTTTTTTCTGTAATCTGGTGATTCATTTCGCCTTGGCGCCCTTCTATCCTCACAAGGAGAACTTCCCCGCCGAGGTCTACTAGCATCTCTCTCGATTATTGATTTCTTATTATAGTATGTATCTTCGTTTCTTTCGTACTGGATTGAAGAGCTCCTGCGACGCCTCTTGTCATGTGGAGGAGAAACACTTCTTTCTCTGTTGTAATGTTTTCTATCTCTCTTATCGGGTCGGGCTCTGGGTAATTCTTCGAGCTCAGATTCAGGTGATGAACGTCGATCGCGCCTTAATCGTTTACTTGGTGCAAGTTTTTCAGGTTCCCTTGAAGGTTCTCGCTTTTTGTTTTCTATTTTGGTTATATGAGACCGCTGCCTAGGTTCAGGTGATGAATGATAGTCGCCTCTAGATGCACTACGCTCCTGTCGCCTATTGGACTCGATAGGTCGACTATTCCTAACAGGAGTGTCATCTTTTTCATATCTCCTATTTCTCTCCTCGCGATCTTTGTCTCTCTTTCTATATTGGTTCCTATCATCATCGCGACTTTCACTTTTGCGTTCGCGTGGCCTCTCTTTTGCATATTTCGCGGGAGAACTGAAACCGATACGACCGTCATGTAAATATTTGCAGCATAAATTAATTTAATTTCAAACAACATATGTCCTTGTCATATGTAAGGTAGATAGAGTAGCTTTATTTAAACAAGTGTGTGTTGTTAAACAAGAATCTGACAAATACGTGAGTATAAAAACTTTGTTTGATCCTCACATTTACAATTCTCATTTTTGAAATGTATTTGAAATTGAACGCAGAATCTAATCATGTGTTTTAATTGCCACAACGCGTCATGAGTTTCCATTAGAGCCATAACACGATTCCCGCTATGTGGATATTTTACTGTGGCCATAACGCGTTGTGATTTCAATCTTTGAGCGTAACATATATGTACATTGAGACGTGTACACAATTACTACAATTAAGTTTAAATATATCGTACGCACTAATTTTTATGATGTTTCGTGAAATATTAACGTAATTATTTTAGTTATTAAAATTTAAACTAATATTTTCTTGCAAAAAATGATGGAGCATTATGTATATGACATTTATTAATTGCATGATTTTCTCTGTATGTAAGTAAGACTACCTCAAATGGAAAAAAGTCACTATAGTTACCTCTCCCTAGTGGACGGCGCGCTGCTGCCGCGACGTCTACTGCTCGATTTTTTCTGTTCGAAATTCAACAAACAAATATAAATAATTATATCCAAATTAACATTTCAAAACACCAGTGCCAATACATAATACTATAGTGGATAAGGCAACTAAAGTACACTAAAATACAGTGAAATTCTTCAGGTCTCAATCATAATAATCTATAATGACATTGAAGAATTTCTCAAAATCATAATACCACTTCAGACATGCATTCTAAATGGAACCATCAATTAAAATAAGAAGAGGCTAAAAAATATTAAAAATAAAAAGTATAGATACCAATTTATAGGTAAAATAATATCTCAGCTACCAATGGAAGCAACAGTAGATAAATATTAATTAGTATTGAATAAATTCATTTATATATATCGTATTGAAATCTATCCATAACATTCTCTTGTCAAATTATGTTTACAAAAATTAAATATATATATACTAAAGGTGGGAAGAACTACTAAAGACATATTGTATCTTCTTTTCTTTGGCACCAGTGTATTCGTTTACATATACATATTTCTATGTTAATAATAACACATTACAATAACAATAATATTTATAAATTTATTAAAATAAAAAATAATGACAGTAATACACAAAAATCAAATGTAATATAACACTTTAGGAACGTACCTTATTTAACAAACGGTGGTGGTATACCATTTAAACAGTGGAGCATCCTTAATTAGTTTTGGTTTAGTGAGAGAGGGAGAATGTTATGGATTAGTTACATTTTAAAGACAAAACATGACTCTCAATACACCAGTGGTGTGTGAAAGAACAGCGTGGCAAAGGGGGCGCCACTAACGCCAATCATTCCGACATAGAACACGGGAAAGTTTAAACAAGTGTTACTAGTGGGTAATTAGTGCCCCAAGGGCGTGTATTAGGTCACGTACTTCTTACACACATCAATAGGTACAGAGTTTGAGTACAACATCGAACCACCATCTGTTTTAAGGACTACAAACACCATGCATGTAAATAACTGTGCACACATATGTTTCCTCACAACCGCCACCCGCTCATTATTCAGTAATATATCAATGTTAGTCGCAATGTTTCATTATCAGATGCATTAACTGTCACGTGACAAGAATTTTAGTATTCACCTAACATAGTGTTCTTACTGAGTGTTATTGTTTTGTGATATACTTACAGTATACGTTATTTCTTCAGATAAAGATGGCTATCCTATGAAATGATGCACAGTTAAACAGATAATTTTTACTGTCTATTTCTTGTATTTACAAAAATAATAAATAAAAAGTTTAAAATAAAAATGAAATAGGAAGACAATAACCACATAAAACAGATTGAATCATATCGTCCCCTCGGTAATTATTGAACAAGTACTATGTGTTAAGGGTACAACTATGAGACAGGAGCTAGCTTTAAACTACAAAGGTCAAGGCTAATTAATTCTGTGACAACTACAATTTTTTTTTTGTTCGGATTAATAAAAAAATCAAGTGGAAAATAACAGGTGAACCTTTTAAAGATTCATCAAGCCCACAAGCGTAGTGCCACTCATGTCATGACACATCAATACCAAATTTAATATGGAATGTGAAGGGAAAGACATAGTCACTAAAACAAAACAAATGAAGCGAAGTGCTACTTCATATCAAGAATTATTAGCAGGTATTTAGGAACAGAATTGAGTGAGGGTCGTGATCAGTTTGAGTGTCGCATGATTAGAATCCCAAGGTATAAAATGTTTCACAGGTGTAAAAAAAAAACAATATATAATTTGTTGTGAATAACCCCATAATCCCAAATATTAAAACGTAGTTACTATTACATTATATTTATATGTCCTTTCAAAGATTATGATTAGACATAAAATTTTTATTGTATTGTAAATTTATACAAAAATTAAATATGGCTGTTTTTATATTGTATAATAAACTAACATAATCTTTGAATTTAAATCCATAACTATTATCTGAAGATTCAGAAGCTAAAATATCGCATCAACACATAATGATTATTATTATTAAAAATATAAGTTCAAATTACCTTTTTCTTCTTTTTCTGTCTTTCATCTTCTGAACTGCCAGAATCACTGTCCTGTTGCGCCTCCGTGCTGCTCGAACTACCAGAGTCTGATGATTTGGAGCGTTTCTTCTTTTTCTTGCTGGTTTCTTGTCTAGAAATTATAAGGAAATCTTGACTACGTTCACAACCATATACATAATTAAATATTTTAGCAACATATATATTTTTTAATAAAAATGCATCGAAAAACCAACCAATCACCAAATAGGAGTTGGATCCAAAACATTCTATAATCCAAACGAGCACCTCAACCAATTGGCGTCGTTGCAATAGTGACAGCTAAATCGTATTTGCGTAATATTATCCATGTAACCGATTGTTCAAAATACGTAGGATCTTCAACAGATAAAACTATTGGACAACGCCGGAGCAACAATTTCTTCGAATCGGGGCAGAAGTTACATAGTGGCGCCCCCTCCAATTTTAATTAACATTTCAAAATAATATCACACAAATATAGAGACATTTTACCTTGTTGTAACTAAAGATTAAAAATATTCTGAAATTTCGCGTTTTTATCAATATAATTTATAATTTCCGAGAGCAGTATCTTTGACAAGGGAATATAATAAATAGTATTACTTAAATATTGCAAATCGATTTTTCACTGCAAACTATCGATATCTGAACTATCGCTATTGCAACAACACTGCTACCGCGTTATTGTTCTTATCACTACTATAATTAGGCCGTAAATTATTTAAAATATTCAATTTAAATTGTATTTCAGCAATACCAACACCTAATATCAATTTGAAAATGTAATATCTATCAATACTTACAGATACACCTTAAAATTAGTATTATCAAAAACCTTAATTAGAAGAAATATGTTGCTTACTCGTGAATACCCTAAGATTAGCGCAATTTGTATGTCTAAATTAAAATAATAACAAAGATCAACCAAAAACAACATTTCTATTCGAATCATACCTACGCATTAAGTTCCACAACATCTTTTTTTCACTGAAATTTACAAAAAGAAAATGTAAATCAGTATTTCTTTTAGTGGACTAATTAATTAATCTATACTCGAGTAATACTTGCCTCTTCGACAGTTGCAATGTCACCTGCCTGCGTCTAAAGGCAATCTAATAGATTTTTATCACGCAATCGAATAATCAAATAAAAATATAAAGTAGCTATGAGTAAAGCAAATTTCGTATAAAGATATGGACTAGAAGTAACACCTACTTTTCCTTTTTATTCTTCTTCGATTTCTTCTTCTTCAACTTCTTAGATTCCGGTGATGTGCTGAGAACAAAACATGTATGAGAATTTTTGCCTAAAATTGGTAATATGGAAATTTATTTTCAATTTAACAGCCAGAGAAAAAGTATTTTATTTCGTGATGTCTTTAGGGGATATACGTTATGTTACATTACAGTTTACTAATAGATATGTATGCAGTAGCTAGTTTTATTTTACACAGATGTTATTATGTTTTGTAACGATAATTGCTAATATTTAACTTTTTTAAAATAATTCAATTAATCTTATCTATCATATTTTAATATACGACCGGCTAAATTTGTTTATTGTCATACGGCAACTTGAACATTAAGTGTCTTTTGATGAGTCTATTTTTGAATAGGTCACTATTTTGAAAATAAATACAGAGAATTAAGAACCATTTATCTAAAAAATAAAAATCAATGGATTTTTAAGGTACCTTCTTTTCTTTTTTCTTTTAGAAACGTGCGCGTCCCGTTCCTCTCTTTCATGACTGGGCGTTCTGACAAGTGGATATCTCTGCGCGTGATCTCGCGCGCGCCTCTCCGCGTCCAGGCTGGTCCCCTCCACGAATCGAGGAGAGATGCCGAATGCGTCACGTAACCGCGCGTTCTTCTCCTGTTGGGCCTCCGCGATCGCATGCGTCTCCCGCACGCTGCAGACAATCAACAGTATCAGTCAACGCTACAAAACGAAGGCCGCAAACGACGACCGCAACGTATAACCCCATTAAAAATTGATATTTACCTGAGTGGCACTTAAGTGCGCTAAAAGTAAACATCAAAACAATTTAGCTTTTCCATATTAAACGCCGTTCAATAAAAACACAAACGAACGAACCGTAAACACTATTAAAAGTCATCGTTTATCATGAATGGGTATGAAATCGTTTTCGATTTCCAATTAATACATTTCCTAGAGCGTTGTAAGGTTTAATTAAAACATTCACTGTGTACACAGAGACCTACTTTACTACTTAGAATCAAAAGAACGTGATGCACACCTTATAACGGACCTCATGGACTTCCTCTCCTCGTCATCAGGGAGACAGACCTGCAAATTGTCGTTAGCATAGTTTCGTTGCTGCGAACAACTACATTGACAACAGCATGAGCTTCTGAGGCCCGCGAGTATAGTCCTGAGCGCAGGCTCGAGCACATCGGACGTAGTGGGTGCGGTGAGGGGCATGGCCACCTCGTTGGGATCGTGAGAGGAGGCGCGCGCTCTACGCTGCGGCCCGGCGAGCACCGCTTGAAATGTACCTCGCCAGAGCCGCTCGAAAACAACTCTATTGTCTTGTTCGCGACGCGACGCCCTACCCCTTTGCATCTTAACCTAACTTATCTAATGGAAGACTTGTTTTCTTAAAACTAACTACTATTATTTTGTACAATTATATCATGGCGGCGAACCGCTGGAAGACTTATGTGAGGAGAGGGTTGGCTACATGACAGAGTGGCCGGCAACGGGCCGGCGGCACTACTGCCAGCGGCGGAAGCACGCCGACGCGCGCAGCCTGCGCAAACATCGGAACTGCGCTCCGACGGGACGACGCCTCCTCAAAGGGGATCTTCACCCCTAGCCCTTTGTGCAACAATCATTCAATCTAGCTCGATTCACGACACGTAATATTTTTACAATGTTGGAATGATGAAGACTAATTTCATTAATGGCTTAAATGCGCATTTCGCACAATTTTGATATAGAAATTAATCAAAAAGTTATTCATTTAGCACACGCGATGACATTTTGTATTTTGCATCACTTGTTTCTGTACATAATGTAATCTCAATAAACTTGAGGCGTACATGAAAGATAGGTACTAAATTATGTCCCGGTAATAGAGAAGAAACACTATCCAATAAAAGAATCCGCAGAACCAGCTTGAAAAAAAAGATTGAAACGCTATTGATATCCTTTTTATGCGATAATAGGGAAAATGCACATTTTTTGAAAATGTTTTTTATATGATAATTTACATCGTTATATAACTGAAAAATTAAACAAAAATGTGTAACAAATATGAGCAGTTTAAACGCAGGGTTTTATGGCGTGCGTCGTGACGTCGAAGCACATGAAATGAAATGAAAATGTCTTTATTCAAGTAAGCTTGTTTTAAGCACTTTTGAATAATCCAAAAACATTTTTTTTTACATTACCACTTGACTATGACTAGAGATATGACATTTTAAATCAATATGTATTTTGAGTGACATGATTATTATTTAATCACCCAAATCGATTAACAACTAAACGATTTTATTTAGAATAATAATGAATGCAAAATTGATCAAATATTATAAGAGACTTCTTAAAAATCATACGAGTATAATTAAATTTTGCGACATAATACATTCATACTCGTATTATTGCATCGATGTTAACTTTTGTGCGTACAACGACATCCCTATACGTGTGCATTTTCGTCACATCCGCTCTGACAAGTAGCACAGTGCATCAGGTCGGTAAGGAAAACAAAATCTTGTTTACAAGAAATAAGTCTTTCTTCGAAACTTATGGTTGCTAATATTATGGGCAGAGATGTATATATCTATGTTGGGTCGTCTATGTTGACGTAGGCAGGTCCATTCTGCTAAGGTTTACTTATAGCATCTCAATAGAATCTCGATAACTTTCATTTTACTATTGTACTAACTACCTGAAGTTCAATATTATTACTGCATTGTGTTTCTCACACTTCAATGGTGACAGAAATATAATAATATTGGACTTCTGGTATTTAGTACAATGGCAAAGTGCAAGTAGTTTAAATTCTATCGAGGTAAATATTAGTAGAATTGCCCTGCTGATCCCTTGCGAGGTAGGGTATGGGTAGAGACAGTGTATGGAAACTACGTAAATATTAAAAAAACCGACAAAACTCCAAAGATAAATGAACGAAAGGTGATACTATCCCAAAAAAATATGCGTTAGCATTATAATTTTCAAAAAGATAAGCATTGAAGCGAATCGAGCCAGTGTTGTACTTTGCAGGGTTTCAGATTAACCTCTAAAATAAAACAGGCCAAACGTTAACCTGATTTAATTAATCAACCTTAGTTTTATGCCGTATACATAGGTCCGTTCCACCGTCATTTGAAACCTCCCCATGCGTTATATGTGCGAGGCGTGAACCTCATTCATTATTGAACCGGGCAAGGGTGCCCGCGACATATTAAAATCGCCTCCCCCCACCCCCAAAGCGGTGCCTACGTCATACCGCCGACCGATCGATATGACACACTGAACGACGGAATCGCGACGGTAATAAAATCCATTAGCGGAATTCCACTTCTAATGTTTTAGAAAAGATTTTTCATTGCATTAAAAAAGCTTATCGAGCTTTTTTAATGCAATGGCTATGGATAGGCTGGTGGTGAGATTTTAAACACTGACTACTGAAACTTTGAACTGAAGGTTTGTATTTTTAGCGCCATAGCATTAGCTCACAACCGATTTCAATATGTCGCTATCTCCGAGTTTCACAGATCTCGGTAATACCTTTCGTCGTTTCAGTTTCATGATTATCATTAAACGATAGATTTAGATACTTATATATCAGCAGGTCTACAACAATGTAACTGCAGATCTTCATAACTAAAGGACGTGATTAAAATAAAACAAAATACCCGCCTGCGTGAAAAGCAACCAACTGAAATGGCTGGAACAAGGTAAAAAAATTATGCAACATCGTACATAACATGTAGTCGGAGGCATGCACAAAGAGAGAATGATTTGACTTATTATTCAATTTCATGTCATACTTTTTTATCTTGTTTCAGCCTTTTTAGTTAGTTATTTTTCACTCAGGCGGACTTTTTATGTTATATTTGGGGCACTTTTGAAATACCTATCTTTCAAACGACTTTGAGATAAATGTTATCAGGGTCGAAGCTTATTGTCGGTCGCGGAACGTCAGAACTAAATAGCATACCCATCGGATGATCCGTCACGTACTAACACATACATCCGTGAGGCGCCTCACGGATCTTTCGTCAGATTGAAAAAAATAACTTTTCTGCAGCGTAGTTGCGATACGTAGTTAGTCGATGTCACATATTCCAACCAGTGCGTCTCACGAAAGTCAAAAGAGTAAGTGTCGGTCGAGACTTGGGTATAGTTATGGATGATAAGCTCAAATTCAATGAACACCTAGATGCGATTACATATAGTGACACTCGTTATATTTTCAGTGTTTTATTTAGTCTATATTGTAATAAATTTGTAATGATTGTTTGTGTCATAAATAAATTAAAAAAAAAAACAGAATTAGAGAGCTGAAGTGGCAGTGAACTGAGCATAACTGTCGAAGAGCCGATAACCGTCGGGGTAATCAAGATCTAGGGAGAATACCGTAAAACGGCAAACGTAGTGTCGAAAGACCTTTAGTAAGGTGAAGTGATGATTTATGGAAGATCGTGGGTAAAAGTTGGATAAGAGTAGCCCAAACCAGAAAAAATGGAGCGCACTGGGAGAGGCCTATGTCCAGCAGTGAACTGCTACAGGTTGATGATGGTGACATGTTCCAATTTCAACTGTCGGTTGTGAGTTAGGACAAACTGGGTGCACATTGGAGTGTTAGCCATTGGAGAATGGTGTAACGCTGGAGTGAACGCTGATATGCCTGAAATCTTTATCCGAAACATAGACATTTACAAAGCCTATTCATCTTGTTTCTTGTTTAATTAATACTGCGGAGCGTAGATAATGGACTTAGCGTGAATAATGGTATAGTCATTAATCAATTTGCCCAATAGTCGACGAACGTAATTTTCAACATTCTTTATTATAATAAGTTAAACGAATGTTGTTTTAGAGCTTTATGAATAGTTACATTTCTTTCTAACAAGCTAATACCGTAAATATCGTAGCCATTTTATTTCTTATTAAAAAAAATAAGCGAGATTTTTTAGGACAACAGAAACATGTTATTCGAACGGTAATAAAAAATGAGAAAAATAATTGAGAAGAACAAGAAAAATATACAATTCTTTTGTTTAATCTAACGTAACCTTGTGGAAATCAATTACATTAACCGTTAAATTATGATAGTTATTTCTACACTCCGATTATTATCTGCAAGTTATTTGGCACTACAATACAGCAACTTCTGAGGATGCCCCGTGGATGGGCGAAGTACGTGTAGTATAATAAAAGGTCTATATGTTTATGGCACACTTTTAAAATCGGATGGACATTGACTTTTTATCCAATAACGACGCGTCCATAAGTTTGATGGTTACAAAAATCGTAAAACCGCTTCGCCTTCCAAACTCTATTTAATCTCTACTAACTCAAAAACATAAGCAGGTTAAAGAAAATTGTATATGACCCATTTCAGTGCCTATATAGAGTTAGATGAAGCTCTCAACGTCACTCGTGAAACGTTTTACATTCACCAAACGTCCAATATTTATTGTGTGCGTCGGCGTCGAAACGAGCGCGCGCTTTACATACATATCAAAATGTTTATTCGCCATTCTTTCTCACCCAACAATTTCAACCACTTTTTCGAAGTAAACACAGAATCTACATTTAGACATCATATTCATTTAAACTTGTGAAAAATTTAAACAGAACACTAGATACTTAAACTTAGAGCTGGGCAAAATGCGATCGTGAAATATATATACTGCTTTTGTAACTTTTAATGATTTTTAAAGATATCATTATAATTATTCTTAGATATTGATAACATTTTGCCCATACATCTGCTCATAAGCGTTATTAATTGTAAACAAACAATACTCACGCGACCCTGCCAAATTCGTCTTTTGGTACGTCCTTGTCAGAGGCACCGGTCTCCGCTAGCTTCGCTCTGAACGAAGCCACCCGCGCCGCTATCTCATCCTTCGGCAACCTGCGCAACCAAACCAGAGAGATGCTCATTTGAAAACTAAATAACCACAATAATAAAAGAGCACCGCACTGTTAGAACAAGTGTAGCGCAATGAACAATAAAATGTCAAATGAAAAACAGCCCACCTGTACCTACCAATGCATGGATACGGCGTGTGTTGTAATCGCGCAGAATTACTTTTTGAGAAACAATAAAAACTGAGCGATAAGCGGCTAGGTAGCGAGCAGCCGCGACGACGACGGGTGTGTGTTTAATAAAACCACGGGCTGGATGTGATCCCGCTCTGTTGAATTATTGATCTGACTCAGGCGCACGCTAGGGCCGCCGACCCCAACAGGGGTTGCGATCGTTACAATACTTAGATACAATAGGCTGTATACTGGTCTCGCCTTGCGTCTATCACTAAGGGCTTTTTGCTGATCGATGAGTAAACACATGTTTCTAAATTTAACAGCTGGATATTGGTGTGGTTAATAAACAGGTTGATATCCAAGAGAGTGTACTGAAGATTCATCTTCGTTTTTTTTTATTATAGTTTACCTTTATAGTATTTTTACAGTTAATATTACTAGCTTTAACTTTTTCACGTTTTTTAGCAATATCTTAAGAAATGTCATAAGACAATTATTTCCCGAAAGTATATAAAATTCTAATAAGTCCATATAATTAATCCTCGCGGGAATTAATTTAAGTGTAGTCATGATTTTGATGAAGATAAGTCAAATATCACTCCATTTTCACAGAGTCCGTTTCACTGTCCCTCTGTTACGACAAATTAAAAAAATATATATATTGATTGATCATAAGGAGTACCTACTTCGTGTTCACGTCGTCACGCGCTAGGCAGATATTTTCAATTTATGTTCTTAATACATAAATACATAACTTAATTCTAGTACATGATTAGAAAAATGCCAACAACTAACATCGAATAAATCGCTGACATTACTCAATAAACCACTGCATCAGCAGTTTGCTTTTCCATTTCAACGAGCGCCAGCGAAACAGATACTATAGTAAATCACTGTACTCATCAATTTTATTTAATATAGATAAATCGATTGAAGCGTAGACTGCATGAACGCTGTGTAGATTTATATTAAGCTTTTGATAAATTCAAAACTCATAACTACCCACTACCCAGTTAAAAGTCAATGTTAAAAGTTAAAGTAGAAGGTGAGGTAGTAAGTTAATGGTAACGTTTAATCCGTAATGTAACTCGTCAAATACAGACGTTAATGGACCTGTCTATCAGATCAAAGGTTATAAACACCATAACAAATGAATCCAAATGGCATTGATTAAATCCAGTACAAATTAAATGCTGGCCATATGCCAATTATAAAAATATAAGAAATGTTGCGTGTTTAGAATTCGATCCGCGGGTCTATTAATTTTCCATTATGTCATTTTGATGAATGAATGAATGAAACATTTATTGAACACACCATTTACGTTAAAATTTATATAACACAAGAATCGAACTATCCAGGGATGGGTCATACTTCTTTTTTCTTCAGAACCTTTTGTAATAGTTAAAATATATTGTTTTATATGTTCAATAAGATCTTAATGTTAAATAAGACGCATCTTTAATTTTAAGCCCTATCATTAAATGTTATAATAGTCACGACAAAAACGTGGCGCCTTAAACCAATAAAAAAAGCTGAGCATAAAACTCATGTCATTTTGTTGTTAATCCAGGTTGAGAATTATCCATATACCAAATTTAAAAAAAAAGTTTAGATTTTTCGTCCTTACATCCCTCACAAACTTTCTCAATTATAATATTAATTAGGTAGTAGAATTGTCTAGAAAATAAAAATATTGCGTGATTTGGTAAATTAAGCTTTACGGTATATCCTCTCATAATTATTCCAAAGCACCAAAGTAGTAATTTATTTAGAACTATAATCGGATCGGTAGCGTTATACGAAGCATTAACTATTGTTATGAAACAAAACGTAGACGTGTTTTGGAATGCATGGAGGCAATTAGTTATTGTATTTCTTCGTTCAAAGGCGTAAGGTTAATTTTATATACAGCTGTCGTAAAGCTAATGTGCTTGATGGATAGTACAAAATATATGTATCCATATCTTCGCGCTGAATCCTTCGCGGGGAATAACCACCAATAAGAATATGAACAGCATAATGAAAATAATTTCAATGCTATTCTTACAGCAAAATATAATCAATATGCCAGCTGCTAACCTTCTAGTGTAGAAAGGTAAAGCTTATTATGCTAAGTTCCAACTAAGTTTTCACAGTGCCGCGGGCTTTTTACGATCTCTTTAATGCCAATTAATTTATGCCTAATGAGCTGCCTCGCTTAGCTGTACTATGAACTATTATTGCCAGCCAGTCATTCAAAACAATACGGAAAATAACAAGTCAGTTTACAAGCGTGAACTGAATTGCCTAGGAATTGGCTGGAATTTAAAAAGGTTATAATAAACCCCCTTATCTACCAGTTCCTATGATAACCAAAGGTGTAAAATAGAAAGCATTGATCAGTGGGGTCGGGCACGAAAATGTTAGTAGATCGCCCTATGTCGCGATACCTAAATCATTTTGATTGGCTGACATTTACCGCGCTTCGAAATTTATCCTACATTTATGAGTCACATAAGTTGTGTATATTACTGTAACAGATAGGATAACTACGGATGTCGAAGACGACGGGATGGGCAACCGTGTTAAGTTTTAAGAGATTTATCTATGGGATTGATGTGTATAGCAATGAATGTATATTTATATCTTATTTTGCTGTACCTTTGATGTTCTGCCAACCTCGCAAAGAAAATGTGGCGTGAATATATGTATCAAAGTAATACATTTTAATTTTATAATGTTACCAAAACAGTCTCGAGTACTGCAGTACCAGAATAATTAGCAAACATTCATTGCATGATAACAAGCACTAGTCACAGGGTGGTAGTTTGTCTTGAATTACCGATTCACAGATTTATTATCAAGGATCACGAGTTTCACTTTTATAGGTATGCACACGAAGCCAAGGATTCTAGCTATATTATCATTTTGAGAGAGGCCTTTGTCCAGAAGTAGGAGTTATCCTGCTGATATGATGATGATAATTAGAGCAAGCAGTCATGTTATTTCAAATTATTTTTTAGATCTACAGATTAGCAAAGATCGTAGAAGACAATAGAAAACATGTTAATAAGCGAATGATAACGCAATTAACTGCTTTCTAGAAACGTAAATAGTCTACAGCCGCTGCTGTTAGTTTTAAACATAACCTCATCCTTACTCACTCACTGGTTTACATTAAAATACACTCACTGGTTTACATTAATTAACATTTCGCGGCCTTTTCCACCTTGCCTTTATCAACAAGGCATATATGTGCCATCTGTTATAAACTATCTTTAACTAGCTGAATTCTCCTAAGATAACCTTAGGCCTATATTATCCGCCTATGATGTAGATTTATGTAGGTGAAAGAATGCTTCAAATCGGTCCTGATAGTTTACGTTTAGAATTCCAATAAAAAAAACTTTCCTCTTTAAAATATTAGTACAGGTAAGAGATTTCATTTGTTTGCAATTCACAAGCCAATTATTTTTAAAAGTAATGTTTATAAATTCGTATAAATAAAATTATTCACTGTAATTGATATTTCTTGCAATTTATATACCTAATTGAACGTCCGTTTTATTAAATCAAAAATTAATAAGCAGATTGAAGCATAATTGAATCATAATTGATTTAACTGTGAAATCACTGACAAAAGAGTGTAACAAATGAAAGTTTTAGTAAGTAGATAATTTAAAATTACTTCCACCTTTACTAAATATAAAATCAACATGAATATCAGTTCAGTAGAATCCTTAAATTACAAAAAACTGACCAACTGCAAATTGGTCTTGTGCACAAAGGGTTTCATATCATTATCTATAAAAAAAACATGTGTGTTGTATGGGAGCCCCCTTCAATATTTATTTTAGTATTTATTGTTATAGCAGCAACAGAAATACACCTGTTATGTGAACATTTCAACTGTTTAACTATCACTGTTCATGAGATTGCCTGGTGACAATAAAGCGTTAACAATAAGACCACTTTTACCTTTTGGGTACAGAACTGTAAAAACTATAGGCAAATTTCTGAGACTGGGGTAATAGTAAATCATGGCTTGCTCTATCTGGCAAAATTTCTTAAATTTCATGGATTTGAACAGTTATGGAACTTAAAATGGATTTGGCATTCATTTCCATATGTAGCAATTCACAGAATACATCCACCCTCCAAAGAGTATGGGAAATAACGGCTGTGGCAGACATCTGTCTGTGCCACAGCAAGCTAAGTTATGACGAATCTATAAGACTTCCATTTTTTCCATTCCACTATAGAATCCTAAATACAAATGATGTAAGAATATGACTGCACATATGTTAGAGCAATATTAATACTTTTTATAATTGTAACACTTTTAACAGTGCTGGATTAAGCCAGAGTGGGGCCTGTAGAAAAATTTTTAAGGGGCCTTTGCATTGCTTGATATTAAGTGTATAATTGATTTAAAACAAAATTCTTACTAACATACTTTTCTTGATTTGTTACATTTCACTCAATCTGACTTAGATACAATAAAACTATCTACACACCCTTTCTTGTTTTGAAGGTTTAATAACAAAATAATGGTATGTTGTGGTTTATGGCTTTACATTAATTGGAGGGCATTCTTCCAATCACCTAATAGGGTCATTATGCCTGTTTGCATCCATTTAGTGTAGTTGACTAGTTTGAAGATGAATATAAAAATATCTCAAAACTAATTTCAATAAAAAATTGTGATATATATCTATACTAATATTATAAAACTGAAGAGTTTGTTTGTTTGTTTGAACGCGCTAATCTCAGGAACTACTGGTTCGAATTGAAAAATTATTTTTGTGTTGAATAGACCATTTATCAAGGAAGGCTTTAGGCTATATAACATCACACTGCAACTATTAGGAGCGAAGAAATAATGGAAAACGCAGACAAAGTCACTGGCGGCCACTAGTTCATGATATAGTTTATTTTAAAGTTAACTTTTAGTTTTGTTAGAAACTTTTGAATTAACCATTTTTCAATATCCTCAACAAAACCTTTTCACATGAGCCACACCACACTCACTTGATACATCACAATCTTGAGCATGATGTTATTATGATGCAGCTATATAAGCACAATGCATTATTGAGCAACAAAGTTGGTGATGTAAACCTTTTTATTAATAGTTAAAAATTAATTACCTAGACTTTTGGACAATACAGTAAACTTAACTTCAATTTTAAAATTACTCAAAAGCTTCGAAAATAAATGGCAAACCCAAAGTAAACTTGTTGTTAGTTATTTACAAGCCCCCCTTGCAATTACAATACCAAACTATTGGGCTCAATTTTCCAGATAAGTTTGGCGCCTGAAAAATTTGTATTTCTAATATTTGTTTACTTTGTTAGTGACCTACCTCTTAACAAAATTTCTTAGAAAAACTTATATTCATTACCCATTTTCTCAACTTTAAATTTTTAAATATTATAATTGTGACTATTTTTTTAAATATTACAGCTGGTTGCATTTTTACTCTAAGCTTTGAGAGTTTGAGAATAATGGGTTTAAAAGAAGTGACAAAAATGATATAAAATTTTTAATGTGACTTTCGTAGTTGTCTTAATTAATATGTTATGATTTAACAATTACCTACAAAAAATTATATTTAGCAACATAGGTTTTCGTGTTATTTACTTTATCGCATTCCACAATATAGTAATAAAAATGAAACAAAAATAAAGGTAACAATTAGCAAACGCATTTCATAATAATTAACCATTACTAAATTGCCTGTATGGTGAGCAATATTAGCGAGTGCTAAACAACTAAATATTGGATAAAGAATTATGAAGTCATAAATTAGTGATAAACTCCACAAGGACAGATTTCGGAGAATGCATTTTATTAGCAATAACAATTAAACAACTCACCCTATTCCCTCGAGACTGTCTTCCAGTTCTGCACATTTCACTTCAATCTTCCTTTTCCTCTCATGATCTAATATTTCTCGGTTTGGCTGTTTGTTAGACGCCGAGTCTAACTTTGCTATCTCTTCTTCGGTGCGATAATTTACCGTATCTTTGGTTTTCCGCACCGAAGCCCAATTCCTTTGAACGTAGCCATTGGTTCCTGATCCTCGTGGAGTAGTTAGACCAATACCATTATACATTTTGTTAACTTATTTACCTAAAATTAAAAATAATGTTTGATATCACAGACGTAATTGGAACACTTCATTGGTTATGAAGGTGTCATAATTTAATATTATTTGTTACATATAATTTAGAGTAAGACATTAATTGGTTTTTAATTATCATAATTTCATACCATCTACAAGCACTTTAAATTCCTATTTTCTCGCGTTAAATAACTACACGTCCATCTTGATTGAATTTTTTAATTTTTTCACAGACCAAGCACAAAAAGCAGATTAAAAACACAGTTACAGATAGTGTTGCTAGGTGTCCCGATTTACGCAGGACGTCCAGATTTTCAGGGGTCCGGGGACGCATCCCGATTTGAACCTAATCGGGACGCTAAATGTCCCGAAAAATCGAGCATTTTTATTAAAAAAACAATTTTTTTTTCATACTATCAAATCCATTTTTGAAAGACCCTAACTATATTTATCTATGTCTGAAAGCAAAAAAGCTACCAATCTAGTAACTATTAGTATGTCATGAGGAAGATTAAGAAATCAAATATTTATTAAGGTTTTATTTACATTACTAATATAATGTTGAATCTAAGCTTTATGATTATGGTTAGATTTTTATTTGTTATTTTATTACATGATTGAAAAAAAGAGTTTATTGTATTTATGGTTAATGTTTGTATGTAAGTTTCTTTATTCCCCTATAACTTTGGATATTAATGTAGGTATAGGGTGTTCAATATTACATCATCTCGAGTGACACTGGCTATACATTTGTTTTATATTTAATATAGCTGACATATGACAATTAAAAAAATTAATAATAAAAAAATGTTTTAGCAATTTAGATTGACTATAGCAATAAGGTTATCAAAATAGTTTTAAAAGAAATAAAATAAAATATTTTTTTTATAAATCACTAATTTACAAAAACACGACTGCCAAAAACGAGCTAAAAAAAAAATAAGCTGTAATATGTTTCGACCAAACTTTTCATTGCAGTCGGGGAACATTTGGATTATAAATGTTTCAAAGAACGAATTCAAACAACGAACAATCTTCATTGGCGAACAATGAAACTCGGGCATAAATACAGCGCTTGCGCAACTTATTTTCTAACGCATCGGGCATCTCCATTTTTCAATTTAATTTTCAAAAGTATTACTCTTAATCAAACTAGATGTTGCTATGCAATTTTAACATTTTTAGTAGACTTGCAAAGAATATTCGGCTGCTTTTGTTATAGCTGCTGCTGAATAATATGGAGATATTTGGTATTCTATCGAATACCGAATGTTTATGTACCTTATATATTTTGTTGTAATGAGATAATTGTTAAAATGAAATAAATTAATGATTAATTTTATAATAATATTGTTTTCACATTTATTACAAAATTTAACGACTTTTTTGCATTTGAATTGTTGTCGTAATCAAAGTTTAAGAGTGGAAGGTTATGGTGTAGAAAAAATATTTTATATGCATTAAAATTTAATTCTCGGGGGAGCCTTTCGCCCTAGAGAATGCGACCCCAGGTGGCGGATAGGGGGATGCCCAAAAGATGAGCGCTCCTACATTAGGTGCCCACATCTAATGGGTAGGAGGTAAATAAAATACCTTCCGCGGACCAAACAGGCCGGAGAGATAAATTCCGTCCAAAAATCATCCCATGGAGCGTCTTCGACATCTTGAAGCAGCGGTCCCTGGGATCGGTATTGTCAGAGCAGGACGATGCTTAGAAGGGCGGCAGCAGAGGAACTGTCAACAGAAGTCAATGGTGGCGCCCATAACCATAATAGAGAGTTTTAACTACCAATAAAACTTACCTATTATTTTTCCTAAAGATATCCGGAATCCATCTAGAGTCAAGCATCATCCTTTTTGTGACGTTTCCAGTCCAAAACACTACTTCCCCTCTTACTTCCGGCGCCTGTGCTGCCATCTAGTTTGCGGGTAGTGAACCAATGACTTTTAGGCACGAACGCTTACCGTCATTATACCTACTCTAAATGCACCAGGTAGAACTTACCTGGATTCCGGATATCTTTAGGAAAAATAATAGGTAGGTTTTATTGGTAGTTAAAACTCTCTATTATTTGTTCCGTGCGATATCCGGAATCCATCTTGAATGATGTGTTTGTTATCTCCTGGTGAGTGCCATTGGTGACGCTATAATGTGTTGCAGGTATAAAAAGTCAAATGTAGTCTGATGACAGTGGCGTAGCTACGAAGGGGCTAGGCGGGGCAGTGCCCCGGGGCCCTCAAGCTCAGGGGGCCCTCGAATCTTTATCAGAAAATCTCAATCGAACTAAACTTTTGAAAATTTCTCCCATTGCCCCAGGGCCCTAGGTTAACTAGCTACGCCACTGTCTGATGAGAAAAAATAATGCATATTATAAGTATATTATGCTATTACATACATAGTACATATATTATGCTGTTACATAACAATGCAATTATAATAATTATTCAATTATTTCGGTAATCTAAGCTAAATAAAATTGGCTTATCTGTTATCGGTCAATATCATTCATGAATTGAATGGAATAATAAAAATGTAAATACATCATAAATAGATATCGGAATTTTATTGATTGTCCAATTTATCAGTTTTCGATAGGACTTCCTAAAAGTATGTTCTTGGCGCCAGTTTACAGTTTCAGTAATTTATCCATCGGAAACAGTTACAGTCAATTTAGAGATGGAACTGCAGATGTAATAGACCCTGAAGAATCTTCTACATTATGTGCTTCTATTTAGCATTTTTGAGAACAGAGTAGTTAACTCGTGAAAATTACTTATTTTTGGGGCTCTTTCATACAAAAATTGATCGCGTGTCCAATACATGCAATCGAATGATTTGTGCCAGTTAATCATTTCTATCCAGGCTGTCATAATTACTATTATCTGTTTTTAAAACAAAATGGGGCCATAAGAAAAAAAAATCATTTTCGTCCCTATACTTCAAAGGTTAAAAGGGTTAAATAATGGATTCTGCCTTGAAGATTGTGAAATTATACTAAATTTTCAGCAACTTAAATAGAGTCAATTCTGCCAATTTCTACGTAAAATTTCCATTGTACTATATACATGAAGTCTAATATTATTAGTGCAATGACAGATATATTTATTATTTTATGATCTAGTAACAAGAATGTGTCATAAAGGGTTGTAGTCGAAGCGCTATTGACCCTCCACCATTACGCCGACATTAGCAGAATTTCCCTACCGGGCACTTATTATTTGCAGAATTAATACTAGTAGATATTTATAGTCGCTTTACATTAACTTGATAGTTTCAAGATTTTCTTTATTTTATTCTGCCCGACTTTTAAATAAATTTTCTGAATTTCGGGGGATGAACACCTGTTGCCATATCTATTGCAGTATTTGCGAAAACAAATCGTCAGCCAAGACACTTTGTCCCATATTGGAACAATCATAATGTAGGTACTTACTTGCCTTGACGCTTACTGGAGTCGAGAAAGTATTTCGGAATCATGTTTGAATAAGGCCAGCTTGCATTTGCACTGATGACGTCATGCGTTATGACCTATTAGCTTGCTCGTCCGTCACATCCATTGTCATGTACCTAGGAATGACGTGTGCTTTTGTCGATGGAATAGGTTCACATCTGGTTCGTGTCATAATTACAATAATTTCCTAGATTTGGTCCCCCATCTTTGTTTATGTACGGGAATCAGTACAGTTCTCTTAGCATTTACATCTAGGCATTCCGCGAAATGAAGACTCGCGTGAGTAATTGCCTCGAGTTGAGCACTCGAACAGATTTCCTATGCACCTGTCCTCGGATGTTAAGCGATTTGCGTTGCATTTATTGGAAGGTATCATGATACAACAGTTACTTACCATTTTAAGTCATTCAGTACTGGGTCTAGTAATCCGAATAGGTAGTAATAGTTTAAAGCTGTCGTTGTTAGTATTGCAGTGTGCGACAGTGTTATCACCCTGTTCGAATCACAAACGAGGCAAAGTCGGGTCTCCCCATTAGGAACTGGACCTGTCTGAGGGACTAGCCGCCTTGTACAATCTGATGCTGAAGTGCCATGCGTAGCGTGAAGCGTTCGGTTCAAACAGGGACTTCACTAAATGTTCAGTACTGAGTCTGGTAGTTTGATTCGGTGGTAATGGTGATCTTTGGGCAACTGTCGATGGTAGTATTGCAGTGTGCGATAGTGTAGTCACCCTCTTCGAATCACAAACGAGGCAAAGTCGAGTCTCCTCATTAGGAACTGGGCCTGTCTGAGGGACTAACCGCCTTGTACAATCTGATGCTGAAATGCCATGCGTAGCGTGAAGCGTTCGGTTCAAACGGTGACTTCGCTGAATGTTCTGTACTGAGTCTGGTAGTTTGATTCGGTGGTAATGGTGATCTTTGGGCAAGTGTCGATGGTAGTATTGCAGTGTGCGACAGTGTAATCACCCTCTTCGAATCACAAACGAGGCAAAGTCGAATCTCCCCATTAGGAACTGGGCCTGTCTGAGGGACTAACCGCCATGTGTAGTCGCCTCGTGCTGAAATGCCATGCGTAGCGTAAGGCACTTCGGTTCCGACAGGGACTTACCCCTGACTTCCCCGGCACTTCCCGGCACCTCGTAACCGTGTTGGTCACGGGGTCACCAGGCAACGCCGAGGAAGCTCAGAACCAGCATACACTGCTCGAAGTTGAGAGACCACCCTAAGCGCTGCTATTGTGGTAGCGCAGTTGTTATGTTGGTATAGATAGCAAAGTTTTTGAGTACCGATGGCAGTCCAAAGAGACACGTCAGTTGCATTAGGCAGGTTGTTGTATGCCAGTCTCAAGAATCTGTGAACCAGATGTTGTTCGGCGATACTCAAATGAAAATACTTTTGGCTCGGATATATTTTCGTAAACCATTCGTTTTGTATGAGAATGTTCGGAATACGAAAATTATTGATCAGTCGAAAAGGTTTTATTTTGACAAATCAGTGTCGTTTTAAATGAAATTGTCGGGCTTTAACATTAGAAGACGAAATGATACAAAACAGGGTGTTTTTTGTAATCTCCGGTATATTAATTTGAGCATTGCAAATGATATTTAAAGATGGCTTAAAATCCCACGCATAAAAATATAATTTTTATACCATCACATACCTACATAGTTTAGATACCAAATGACATAGTTAAACACTTGTATTATGGAAATCTGAAACAACGAAGGTAACAACACCCAGACCAGAGACAATATAGAAAAGCTCATTATCTGCATTAACATGACCGAGAGTGGAATGCGGGAGCTCAGAAATGGTGACACCTTGGAACTGGTGAGCCACTCGCCCAAGATCCGACATATGCAATCTGGAACATCCTGATTGTTCCATAGACTTACAGATCGCATTAGATAGCCCCCTCCAATGTGTCATGTCATGCATTGTATTTATTTCTAAAGTTTAATGAACTGGTCTCATTACCATTTAAATATTGGTAATCTACCTTGAATCAACTTGCAGTTGCACAATTTTATGCACCCCCTTGTTTTTTGGGTGAAATATACTATTATCAAAGAAGAACTTGTTCGTTCTTCCTATCAGCCAAAAGACGTCCTGAACGAGTGGTGGGGAAAAATGTTGGACGATTCAAAAGAGAAGTCTATTTGAATAAATATTATTTTGACTTTGACTTTGAACTCTGAATTTGGCAAATTTTCTGTAAAGGCATCTCAGAAAACTTCTCCACGGCTCTGAACACATCAGTGCGTCTGCCACTTAATATTTGGAAAATATAATCCTTGTTGAATGTTGATTAGATTTTATCAAAAAGCTCTTTAGCATTAAGGTCTTTAGCAATAGATCAATCTACGAATTAATTCTGTTAAGGTATTTGTTAATGCTGTATATTGTACCATTTCTATAAAATATAACTATAATGACTTCTATTCTCGCAAATAAAGATCTTATCTTAAATCATCAATTGTTGTAGCCGAAACAAATCGCCTCAACTTATAATTTAATTTGAGCATGTTTCATCTAATTTGGTTTCACCATAGACTGGGTC